TCTTTTGTAGTGTATAATGCGGTTACAGTAATTTGAAAAATGCAGTAATAGAACTATCATTAATTATTTATATGTATTTTTTTAATATAGGCTTAGATGGGTGGACAGGACCGAATAAAAAGTCATATTGGAACTTTGTCATTCACAGTTTTACTGGACGAGAATACCTTTGGAAAATACTTGATCTATCCGATCAAAGTCATACTGGAGAAACCTTACAAAATTGTATTCAAAAAATTTTTGATGAACTTGGAGTAGATAAATTCGGAACGATAGTAACTGATGGGGGTTCTAACTGTATACTTGCACGAAAATTAATCTCTGATCAGTACCCACATATTTTAAACTTGCAATGTGTTTTACATTGCATGAATCTAATTTCTAATGATATTTTAAAATGCAGTTTCGCAAAAAAAATTCTTTATCAATGTGCTGCGATTGTAAAGTTTTTTAATTTGTCACATCAATTATATTCATTGATTATAAACAAAAATATATATGGTGGCGGATTAAAAACTTATACGAAGACTCGTTGGACTAGTGCATACGAATGTGTATATTCGGTATATCGTCATAAAACAGCTTTAGAAGAAGTATATATATTTACATTTTAAATATATAATTTTATTATCGTTATTTATATTTTAATAATTTTAATTAACACAGATTTTAGATCAAAACTCACATTTATTCAATAACAAGACCGGAAAAATTATTAAAACATTTTTAAAGTCTCGTAGATTTTTTGATAATGTTTTAGACCTCTCTAAAGTTTTAAAGCCAATTAAAGATATGATTACATGTCTTGAAAGCAAAACGGCTAACTTAGCCGACTGTTATTTAGGTTATCTTAAACTAGCCATCGCCATTAAAAATATTTTTCAAGATCACTATTTAATGTTCTATCGAAAATGTATTTCAATTTTTAATGAAAGATTTAATACATTTGACTATGATGAATATTTATTGGCATACTATTTACATCCTCAGTATCGAGGTTTGTATTTAATTTAATGTTTATTTTAGAAAATTTTTTAAAACTTATTTTTTAAAAATTGTAGGTACCGGAATTAAACAATTGCAATTTGTTCGTATAGCTGGAATTGCAGGCCGCTTATGGATTAAAATGAAGTCTAATACTAAAAAAGGTGGTCTAGAAATGTTAAAAGCACAATTACGCCAATATGCTTGCAATGAGGAGCCTTATAATAGATCTTATGTATCAACTATTGATAGTCCAGTTCGATGGTGGAAAACTACTGGAGATGGGATTGAAACCAAACCGGGTGCACTTTCTTCTTTAGCAATTAAATTATTTTCAGTACGTCCTCATGTTGCAAGTTGTGAGCGTGTGTGGTCACGTTGTGGATGGTTTTTAGGAGACCGACGTACTAATTTAGGAACGAAGAATCTTGAGTCAATGGTAAAAATAAGTTCTTATTTAATGTCAAATGCTAAACAAGAACTACATTATTATGGATTGGAATTAACAGAAAGAGAACTACAAACTGTTTTTCAAGATATTGATTTATTCTCTGAAGTTAATGAAGAGAATAATGATAATTTAGATAATTTAAGCGAATTTACAAATTTTTCTGATCCTGAAATTGAACACCAAGACTTAGCGCTCGAAAATTTTATAGAATTAAATAAGGTAGAGCCAGATGCTGATGATGAGAACGTAGATAGAAATAATGAAGAACTTGATGAAGAAGAATTCGTTAGTGAAGAATTTGATGAAAACAAATTCGGCGCAGAGGTTGAAGAATTAGTGTATAGTATACAATAGCTTTTCTCAGATTATTAATAGCAAGCATTATTTTGTTTTCAAATTAAATTGTTTTTAAATAAACTTTTAAAATAAATAAAGATTTTAATATTTGGCTCACATTATTGTTTAATCAATGACCGATCATTCTATAAAAAGGTAATACGGTATAAAGTACAAGAAATATATTTAATACAGTACATAAAGACGCATTTTATAAGATGAAATAATAGAAGTTTCTGGGCTTCAGATTTTGAATAAAATAATTAGGGCTCTGCATATCCGATCCGACATGTGCCTCGTACCTGGTATTTTCATTCCTGGCACTTTGTGCCCGTAACTATTCTCAGTTCATGCCCATAAATTTTTTGTTGGCACTTTTGAATTACCTTACGTAAAAAATGGCTCAAACTTATATAAAAACAAACTTTATTTTTGGGCATGACACAAAAGTGCTGGCCTAAAATTGTCTGGTGCAATTATAATTGATTGTAATTGTTGTCGTAACCAATTAGTGATAAAAATAATTGTAAATAATTGCAATTATCGCGGTTTGCAAAATTATTGTCTCAAGGGGGTGATGATCATAACCCCCTTGAGACAATAATTTTGCAAATCGCGATAATTGTCATTGTGATGAATCATTGTGAATGG